CAGCTGGGACGGGCCCTGGGTGGGAAGTGACCCCCCCCCCCCCAAAGCAGTGTTGAAAAACAGAGGACCTGGCGGCCCACCTGGCCCTCCCTCCCTCCCAAGACTGCTGCTTGGCCCAGCCAGCGGGGAGGAGAAGGAAGAGGAAGAAGAGATTGGATTTCTCTCCCGCCCTTCACTACCCAAGGCATCTCAGAGCAGCTCACAATCTCCTTCCCCTCCCCCAGTGAGGTGGGTGGCGCTGAGAGAGCTCTCCCGAGAACTGCCCTTGGGCCATCCAGCCAGGTGCAAGTGGAGGAGGGGTGGGGAATCAGACCCGGCTCTCCCAGATCAGAGTCCGCGCTCCTAAGCACCGCACCAAGCGGGGTCTGGAGCCCCCAGCCCCCCACCCCACCCCAGAGACCCCTCCCCCTCGTGGACTTCAGCACCGACTCACCAAGCACCAGGAGAGTGGCCATGGCCGTGGTGAAGTTGCGTGTGCCCGGGATGGTCGCCCGGCAGACGTAGACGCCCGTGTGTTGCACGTTCACGTTGGAGATCAGGAGGTTCCCGTTGCCCAGCACCCGGGTGTTGAAGACGTCGATGGACTTGTGGTCTGGAGGGGGTGGGGGTGGTAAGAGGAACAGTTCAGAGGACGGATCAGCCCCCAGCGGCAGAGAGGCCCAGGCCTGAAGCCTCTGGCCTTCTTCTGTCACCTGGCAGCCCCGTGGCCCTGGCTGCTGCAGTGCCCTGTGTGAGTGCGCACCCCACAGCCCTGCGCGCCAGGAGGAACACAGAGGAGGAGGAGGAGGCGGAGGCGGCAGGGGCCAGGGCCGGAGAGCAGGGAGGGCTGGGAGGGCGGGACTCACCCAGGCGACTCCAGGAGACGATGGGCTTCGGCTGCCCAGTGGCCATGCACTCAAAGACGACCGTCTGGTGGAGGGAGGCCGTCACGTTCTGTGGCCCGGCTATGATGGCCGGCTTGCGGAAAGACTTTGCGGGCGGGGCTGGAGGAGGAGGAGGAGGAAGAGAAAAACACACAGCTGGGAGTGGAAAGAGGCAGGGCACAAAAGGCCCCCCGCGCGCCTCAAGGGCAGACGGGGAAGGGAGACCCGGGCCGCCATCGGTGCGCGGCAGGCACCCTCCACTCCCGCGCTGGCAGGGGACCCGGCGGAAGGGGCGGAAGGCCTGGCCGCGTCTGGGGGGGGGGAACCTGGGAGGACGGTGAGCGCGGCCTCTGTGCTCTTCCGCCGGTGGGTCACCGTGGAGGCGACGCAGCGATAATTCCCAGCATCCTTTTGCTGGACGTTGTAGATCTGCAGCACTCCGGAGGGCAAGGCCGTGATTCTGAAGGGGGGGCAAGACCGGAGGGAGGGGACACACACACACACACACACTATGAGTTTGGGAGCACGCACCTGCCTGCGTTTCAAAGCTCCCGTTTAAAAGCTTCCCTGGCCCTGAACACTTGTTCTTATTTTCCGCACTCCCCAAAACAGCTGCTCACGACCACCTCAGAGGATGGAGGCACGGAGGAGGAGAGGTCTGTCCGTGGCTGCTGCTCACGGTGACAAAAGAGAAGCTGGGTATGGAGGAGGAGCAGCCGACCCCTGAAGGAGACCAGGGGGCCACGAGGGAGGGGTGGTCTCAGGGGAGGGCCACGGCCTCGTTTGGCCCTCCCTCCGGCAGCGCTGCGTCAGACAGGATGGCGCTGGACTCCTCTCCGTGGGCCGCTGGTCTGAGCCAGCAGGGCTCTTCTGAATTTGAATCTGTCGGGGGACCCAGCTGGGAGCCTTCATGGAGCCACGCAGATGACCCTGCCTGGACCCTAACCAGACTCACAGGGGCAGTTTGTGGGTTCAAGGGGATGATGCGCACACACGCACACACGCAGTTCTGAAGCTTCTGGAAGGAGGGCCGAGGGGAGGCACCCAGAATGGGCCGCCTGGGCAGTGGCAGGGGCGGGAGCAGGAAGGAGGGCGACGGCTCCCACCTGTCGGTGTCCCCTGGCACGGCTGTCCGGTTGACTTCCCAGGTGATGGTGGCCGGAGGGTTGGCGGAGATCCTGCAGGCAAACCGGGCCACGCCCCCTTCGTGGGCCTCCGCCGGCAGCGGCTGGACTTCAAACGCGGACATGGCTGGAGGAGGAGCACAGAGAGGCTGAGGAGGAGCCCCGGGGAAGTGGGCACGCACGGGGACCCCCCCCCCCCCCCCCGCGAGCGCCAGGCCCAGCTGGAAGGCCAGCGGCACCAAGGAACGCTATTAACCGGCACCCGACCAGAGCTGGGGAAAACAACCGACCGGCACACTAGCCATCGACCCAGACACCCCCTCCAGAGGGGACGATGAGCCCTTGGCTATCGACTAGAAGGCATCCCCGGACCCCGGGGGGGGGGGGGCGGGGCTCCTTTC